TACACTCACCAGGCGTCCTCAACACACACTGCTTGGTTCCTCCTTTGCCTCTAGTCCCACACTGTATCTTCAATAGATAATGGAGAATTATGACACAAAGGAGCTACTTCTTGGAACACATTCAAAGTCAGGTTTGGGAAACAGAACACACATTTTTGAGAAGCGACAGGATGACCTAAGATTTGATTCAAAGTCATTCAAGACTAGTGCGCGGCATTTACTCTGAGCCAGGAGTTCCCGGGGGGGAGGGTCACTTTGCCATCGCCTGGGCCTCGGAAGAGGTTGGAAATGAGCCAGATGCTGAATGACGAATAGGGGTGCAGAAAGGAAGGAAGGGGTAGTGTGGGGGCCAAGTGAGGAGGGGAGATGGGCATTTCAAGCGGGAATTACACTGAAGCAGCAGGTGTGGGATTGGTGTTCCGAAAGGAAGCCACCAGGGGTAAAGGCCGGTGAAGCACCAGGCAGAAAGGTGGAAGGTGGGCTCCACGAGTGGCCCCGAGGGAGCAGGGGGTGCCGTTTGCCACTTGGAGATCGGCTATAGTTGGCAGCAAGTTCCTGAGGGTAGGGACCATGCGTGTCCCGTTCCCCACTGTTTCCAGAGCCTAAAAGGAGGCCTGCCACAAACCCTCAATAAATCCATTTTGAACGGATGAAAGGGAGAAAAATCAGCCCAACGACAGTGACTCGGAGGAAGACAAAGACAACACAAAAGGGTGCGGTCTAGTTTTGCAAAGAGATCAAGGGTGGCCAAGTCAGGGTTCCTGGAGAAGCGGAGAGGGAAATGGAGCTGCAGGGCAGGGACCTTAAGGAGGTTCGGGGGTGAGTGGAAGGTGAGCAAACAGACACTCTCTGCAGGGGAGGAGAGGGGAGGGGACGGCTGGCAGGGGTGGGGCGGAGTCCCTGGCGAGATCAGAGGGATGGAGAGGTGGGGCGGGCCGACTCTGGGAAGGTAACAAGCAAGACAGAGACACCCTGTGAATAAGGCAGGTGCCCTGACCTGGGGACAGAGCAAGGGAGGGCGGGAAGGCGGGCACAGGTTGGCTCCCCAAACGGCCTCTGCTCTCCCAAGCAAGAGGCGACAGTCTTCTGAAAATGGGTTTTGGAGAAGGGGATGAACAGAGAACTCCAGGGCTTTATGCAGGGCCAAGGCGCCTTCCAGCTGGCCCGCGGAAAGAGCCAACGCGTGACTCCTCAGGCAGCAGCCGGGATCCAGCCCCAGCATCTGCAGGACAGACTGCAGCCGAGGGCTGTCGCGAGGGTGACCAAGGTAACCGAGGGCTCCACGTCGCTACAAACACCGCCACACCTCCCCCCGCTGGCCCATCTAGACCGGCCCCGCAGTTTCTAGTTCTGTAGGATCTAGCCCCCCATCGGCTGTGTGACAAGGAGGCCTGTATCCATTCCTTGATATTTTCGAGAACCAGGGGGGCTGTAAATAAACAATGAGGGGGCCTCATTAGGCTTCAGATTCCATACCTACTCCCGAGGAGGAGCTTTTTCATTCAGGTCTTTCAGAGTCCCTGGAAAGGCTGAATAAATTGAGAATAAAGACAATGCTGAGCACGGAGTGCTTGCTGGGAACACAGGCAAGCATCTGATAAGGGAAGGTATGAGGCGATCCCCAAACGTCCCTGCAGCCCTGACAGGCTAGGAAAACTGCCGGGGACCAGACGGAAAGACAGATAGAGGGAAAGCAGGGGACGGGAGCAGCATCCTGACCTCTCTGGTCAAAAAGGTCCCACCATTTATGGTAAACACGTGTTGCGGAAAGAAAGGTGCTTCTGTGCGACATCCATCACTGGGAAACCGGGGGAAACAGTGTCTCAAGGCAGGTGTACGAGTCCCTGCAATCTCTCCCCACGTTGCACATCTCCCATGGGACGTGGCAGGGACTCGATGGGAGAGCCCCCAGGAGATGATAGGAGGTCCTTTCCTCCCTTAATACCCTGTGCCTTGCCATTCTCCCTCCCTGAAAGGAGTGACCCCAGCCCCGTCTGCAGAGTCACGAATGTTCTCTGCTTCTTGAGGTGCCAAGGCACGTGTGGTTTTAATTATTTATGACAGTGTCTCACTGCACACGGGGATGTGCCGTGGAGTCACTTTTCTCAACTGATAAAGCCTTTGTCATCAGAGACCTGCTGCCTCTTGGCTGGCAAATCTCAGCTGAGAGGCGGGTCGGGCACTGCCTCTACCCGTCAGCGTGAATCAGCCGGGGACTCACAGAGGCGGGGCTAGCCAAGTCCCGTTACGAGGCTCCTGCGCACCCCTTGTTGTTGCCATCCATGTTTTCCGAAAACAGTTAGGAGCCATCCGCGGTCTACTGACAGGACAAAATATGCTGCTTCCCCGAAAAGGACACTTCCCTTGGTATCGGAGGGTTTTAACAACCCGAAGGCAGCTTGTGATTTCCTTCACTGGAGGTATGGCTTGTTCCCTTATTCCTTCCAGTCTTCATCCATAAACCTGCTTCCCCTCCACCTCCACTGACCCCTTCTTGTTTACAGGGATGTACTGCCTGGATCCTTCAATAGTCCGCTTTGAATCACAAATGCAGAGATTAGGAAGGAAGGCTTTTCCTCTACACCATTTCATAGGGCCATAGCTCCTTGGCTGGGACTGGATCCCCACATCAAAGGACACTCCGATCCCATAGCTCTCTCCACGGCTTGCACTTACTCTGATGGCCCAGGGGAAACCTCCTCCCCACGTGCCAGATTCATCCCCACCCGGCAATCGTCCTGGGAAGCTGGTATCAGGAGCTCACACGACCCAGAGATTAGAACACCAGGAGCCCAGAAATTCCACCCTCGTTATTCATGGATTTCGGATTTACAAAGTCGCCCACTTGCTAAAATTTAAGCGTCACCCCAAAACCCACACTCTTGGGCGCTTTTATGGTCATTCGTAAACCGGCAAGCAGTGGCGAGAAATCCGAGTCAGCCGACGTGCACATTTCCACGTGACGTGCTACCTTCTTATTTCAGCTCTCCTACCGTAAATGAGCGTCCCTTCTGTAGTGCCTTTAGTGCCATTTTCTGCATGTGTGCTTTTTGTGGGTGATTTCACTGGATATAATGGCCCCAAGCACAGCACTGACTTTCTAACATTCCAATGAGCAAGAAGGCTGTGGTGTGTGTGCCTTATGGAAACAACAGGTGTGTTAGGCAAGATCCGGGTGCTAGAAAAGCGTCCTTCAGGCATGAGTCATAGTGCTGCTGACTCTAAGTTCAATGTTAATGAACCAGGGATATCTATTAAATAGGCGTCTTTAGACAGAAGCACACATAAAACAGGTTATGTATTGATTAGTTGATAAAAACGCTGTGACCAGATGCTCACAGGAACCTAACCCTGGATGTCTCCTAGGAGCAAGGGCTCAGCAGCCACTAATTCAGTGTTCACGGTGACTCTGTTGGAACATAACTACTGTAAATAACGAGAATCAATTGTGTATTCAATACAGCAAGGCCTAAGTTCTGTTCAAATGCTAACATGGCTCTGAAAAGCTCAGCAGCGTCAACTCTAGACCTGGCTTGGACTCCATGCTACCACCCCAGAAAACCTTTCCTTCCAGCCACACTCAGGCCAGTCCAAGATGAACCTGACTGGAGGCAAGACCTTTAGCCAGAGCAGAACCATTCTTAGCACTGTGTTCCCCCACTATTTATCTGACACACAGGTATTTTTCTTCCCTTGCCCTGGTCCGGAACCCAGATATCCTTCCTCTGACACTGACGGGGGTGGGCGTCCAATAGACACAGAGACCAATTCTGGAGGACACCCAAGGTTGGAAGGCACATGATGATCTCATTCTGACTCGAGCCCAGAACCTCCCACTGTGGTAATCCTCTCTCTAAAAATTGGAACCAGAAAAACAGAAGCAAAGGTCAGTGAGACAGCTGAATGCCCACTCTGCCGTAGGACGGACCAGCGGGAGCAGCAAGAGTTCCGTGAGCTACAGTGTGGCCCGAGTACAGCTCTTGGAAGAGCAAGACTCGAGGTGCCTCTTCTGTGGCCAAACCCTGAGCCCCGCGGACAGAAGAAGAGAACCTACGGCACAAGCCTGGGGACGGGGAAGGGAACTCGCAGCCTCCCCATATCTCAGTTCTCCTGTCGGAAGATGAGGCCTTACCATAACCCAGTCTTTCCATCCCTTCCAGCTCTCAGGCAATCTCCAGGGGCCTCTGCTGTCTCTCCTGAACTAGCCGACCATTTCTTGAGGGCAGGAGCAGGGGAGGCTATGCGCTGGGGTTGCCAGCCCTACACTGACCCTGGGACACAGGGAAGGGAAGAACTGCTGGCTGGAAGGTCCAAGCCACGGAGGCTCCGGAAGCTGGGAGAGGCCCTGGGAGCTGGGAGAGGCCCTAGCAGAACTCAGCAGGAACACAAAGAGAGGGGCTGGAACCAACAGCAAGTAAGAAACGAGGAGGAAACAGGTGCCCTGAGTCCTCTGATCGGAATGAGACATCTGCAGAGGGAGGTGAGGTGTCCAAGCGCTGGGACCAGGATCAGATGCTCAGAAAGTGCGCACTTCGGGGCACTGGAGGGGCAGCTAGAGAGATGTTTCCATTCAAAAGGTGCCCACCACCCTTCATTCCCTTGCCCTCTCATGGAGGAGGCTGGGGTGGAGGGTCTGATAACCTCAGGGGCTGTTGTCTGGACAGAGTCAGGTTACACTTCCTAAATGCATAGGCCAGGTCTGTAGAGAAGACCAGCCTGGTCTGTACCCCCTGCCTTACTGGGAGCACCTCTCCATGTGGGGCTGGGGCTCCTGCCTCTGGGCTACTTCTCATCCTGAGCCCCCTCTGCCCCAACGGAGACCCCTTGATGAGGCTATTTTTTTCAAGTTTTGAGACAAACAGGGAGGGTCTCTTAGAGAGTGGGAGGTTAGCAGGTGGCAGGTCACCTCAGAAGGTTCCAGAACCCCAGCTAGGTGGTCTGTTGCCATGGCCCCTCCCCTGCCCTCCCCAGAAGGGACAACATTCTACTCCAGTACTCACACGTGTCTGGCTTGTGGCAGTTGTGTCCCTGACGGAAGTACTGGGGGTTCTCAATGACTGGGATCCGGGTCATGCCGATGACCACCGTGTCTGGCCCAGCGTCCAACGACGAGGGTGTGGTGATGCCATGGTTGATGTGGTGCAGCGGGCTGGCTGAGTCCTCCTCGCCGCTGATGACAGCCACGGGGCCTGCACACACCAGGAGAGACACAGGTCTGATGAGGTCATGTCTGGCCAGTGCCTGGCCCTGCCCACAGACCCTTTCATGATTTTGGCCACCACATTTCCATAAGAGTAAAATCCACTGCAAGAGTATTCCCCGAATGCTCTGGAGTCTGCATTCAAAGAACCACCTCTGCATTCTCTTTCTTGAGAGAAACATCCACGCTATCACACACCATGGAAACAGCTGCAAAATAAGAGTGTATCAAAATGACTAGGACATGAATTATTTGTACTTCCCCCAAATCCAAATTAGTTCAAAATAATGCAAATTTTACATGAGTTCTTGGCTTATTTAGGAACAACGGGCTGAAAATTTTTTTTTTTTTTACACAGCAGGAACTTGCACCCTGCCCCTCCTCCCTTCAGGAGCTTTAAAAACTATTTTTTAATTTTTTTTCATGTTTTGTTATTTATTTTTGAGAAAGAGACAGACTGTGAGAAGGGCAGAGGCAGAGAGAGAGGGATACAGAATCTGAAGCAGGCTCCAGGCTCTGAGCTGTCAGCACAGAGCCCGATGCAGGGCTCGAACTCATGAACCACAAGACCATGACCTGAGCCGAAGTCGGACACTTAACTGACTGAGCCACCCAGGTGCCCCAGGAGCTTTAAAAACTATTGATGCTGGGTCCCACCTCCGGATTTTGATTCAGTTGGTCAGGGGACAGACCTGGGCATCAAGATTTAAAGAGCTTCTGTGTGAGTCCCTGGCATGGCCAGGATCTGGAGCCTCTACTTAGAGCCTTGGAGGCTGAGAGCCTTTCCAGAGTGGCCCTTGGAATCCTACAGGAACGTATGTAGCTTTCGCTGGACTCTATCACCTCTACCTCTCTTGGTCCACGGGGAAATAAGCCGAGTATGAGCCCAGAGGGAGCCAGCTTTCAAAGTGACAGTAATTTGTCTGCATCACTGATAGCCTTCAGGCAACTGGGTCAGTATCCCACTCTTGAAGGATCCACCCTGCCCCAGTGGCTTCAAGGAACATCATTCGTGTCTTCACCAACCCCGACTCCACAATTTTCTAACCCAAAGAAGAAACCCAGTAAGTCGGGTTATTTACAGAGATCATTATTGCCGCCATCTTGGCAGAGCAATGGTTCTGTCTGGTGGTGAGGTTCTCCCATACATACAAACAGAACCCGGGTAAAGTGCATTAGCTGTGACTGTGGCTTCATACAACTAGTGTTTGAAATGGCTGCTTTGCAAGACACGTGGTCCCAAGACAAAGTGCCCGCTGTGATTTGGTTTTGCGACTTGAACAATATTTCCACGGCAGAAATCCATTACATCTACTGAAGTTTATGGGGAGAGTATTTCCCATCAAATAGAGAGGGGGAGCACCAATGAGGCAGAACTAAAAGGGAGACTAGTAAATGCAAGCTGGGGACCCTGACTTCTACTCCGTCGGCACAGACAGGCTTATTCCAATCCATGACAAATGCCTGATGGTGTTTGGAGGCCGTGTGAAAAAGCAGCAATGAGTGGCGATAATCACTTGCCCTGCAAGCAGAGAGGCCGGTGCCTGAAAACACCTTGTAAACTTTGAAAAACTTCATCGTGCTTCCAATTCATCAGTGAAAGCATAGCACGGGTTTTTGCCACTCCTCCCGCCCCAAATGCCTCTAAAACATGAAAGAAAGAAAGAAAGAAAGAGAGAAAGAAAGAAAGAAAGAAAGAAAGAAAGAAAGAAAGAAAGAGAAAGAAAGAAAGACTAAAGAAATATTTGTACACAAAGAGCAAGAAGAGGGGAGATGAGAAGAAATAAGATATTTCAGTGTTTTGGAAGATGCAATGTAAAATGAGGAAAGCTCGCTTCCAGGGACTGCAGGGGGAATATTTACGGAAGGTCAGCTCTGCGGGGTGGCCTAGTACTTGAAGGGACAGGGTCGCCCAGAAGGCTGGGGTAAGGCTCAGGGCTGGAACAAGGTACCCAGGCCATCACCTTGCTCCCAGTCTAGTGGTTTCTTCCTGGAGAAAATTAACTGGAAGGGCTCCGGGGAAGGACTGGCCCCCTTCTTCTTGCTCCTAGAAGACAGAAACCAAGAATGACCGTGCCTGCCATCTACCCTACTCCTAGTCTCTTCTGTAGGAGATTCAGGGGATGCTTCTCTGCAGAAACCAAATGCCTCAAAACAAACAAACAAAAAACAAAACAAAACAAAAAACACCTAGCTGTTTACATGTGGCGGTCTCCCAATGAAGCCATGCTTACTTTGTGATCATGCCACAGTGAAGGCTAATAGTTGACAAGGCCCATCTGTGTGTGTAAGTGCTTTCTAATCCTTGATTCCTAAATATGAGAAAATAGCCCGGGATCACCAGACACTTAGGCAAAGCTGCAGCATGAAAGAGAGAGTGCAAGACAAACAGACAGTCAGGGACCGACAGGAAACGGAGGCAATGCAGGGAGCAGAAGACTTCTTTTCTAAATCACTAATGTCCTCAGAGAGACCAATGAAGATATCACACCCATAAAACAAGAGGATATTTAAAACGTGAACAATTTAAGGCTAAGAAAAAGTCCCTGAGAATTACGACCATTAGAATTCGAAAGTCAAAGAACAGTGGAAGAGAAAGCCAAGGAAATTTTCCAGAAACTCAAACAAAAAAGAAAGAGGAGGTAAATAGAAAGGAAAAGATAAAATTAAAGACTCCATCCAGAGACTCGATATCTAATTAAAAGAAAGGTAGGGTAGGGAGAGGGAAGGAGAGAGAATAAAAAGATTAAAGAAAGGATTAAAAAAATTAGGGAAAAATTTCTCCAAATGATCTGTCTACTCAGTTTCCAGCACAATTAATACACGCCTGTGTGCATATGGTGTAAGCACATGCACCCACACACACACATGCATCAAGGCACAAAGTTATGAAATGCCAGCATCTTGAGAGAAGACGCTAAGAGCTTGTAGGAGGGAGGGAAGGGTCCCATTTCGAAAGGAACAGAAATCAGAAAGACAACGCAATTCTCCATTACAACCCACTGTGGCTTCCCTGTGCAATTCCTTCAAAATTTTGACGGACAAGTTTTCAGCCAAAACTCTACCCCTAAAAGTTTGTTCACTCATTGTAGAAAGCAAAAGAAAGGTATTTGCAGGTGTGTAGACATTCGCCTCCCCCTATCCTGGGAAGCAGCAGGAGGGGACACTTTGGCAAGACAAAGGTACAAATGGGAAAAGAAGGAATAGAAGATACAGTTCCAAAAAGACCAAATAACAGAAGCCCCCCCACCCCCCACCTCACCCCCTTCTGTTCTCAGCATCATGGGATGTGGGTTGTTATAGTGACACGGAGGCAGGACACCACATCAGGAGGAGTCTGGAGAAGACAGAACGTTGGGACGTGAGCCTTTTACTGTTTCTTTGAATCTGTGTCTCACAGAGTCAATGGACAGCGAGTGGTCAACAAAACGTTCCAAAGCCTGTAATCTAAAACAGTCTCTACTTTCTCAACGTTATTCTAGGATCTCAGAGGGATAGGTAAGGGCCATGGGGAGGAGAAGGGTCCTGC